CTATAAAATCAAAACAATCAAGCGTAATCGCGCAGCCTACAGCAGCGACCGAAATTACATCACACGACGGTGAGCCGACAGTTCTTCCGGCATGGAAGACAAACGGCTTTCAACAAGGTTGCTGGAAGTGGTCGATTCGCTGACGGCCACTGTTTCACAACTCTCAAACGCATCTGTTATTCCCAGCTTCTTCGCCGTAGCTATTTTCATTCGTTCTCGTGCCTGCAAGAAACATACAACATAGCACGAGAATTGTTTACCGACTAACCGAACAAAACGAATAACAAAAGCTCGAAGTTCTGTCACCGCAACTTTGCACTGGCTCCTTACACATGTCAAAAAAGGAGCTAAAAATAATTTGTAGAAACAAGTCAATCTAGTACTCCTCGCTTTATGACAAGAAAATCGAACGAACAAATACGCATGAACAGACATGGGTTGAAAAAAACGGACTGAGGCAAATGCTAACCCCTGCTGTCAGCCAGGGTACTGTTGCCCCTGTAATGGACATCAATGCTTCTGAAATACATACTATGGGTGCGACAGTGCCCTATCATCCTCATTCGCACCATTTTACAGTCGCTAAAAATTGAGCTTCAGCTGATCATCGTGTCTTCGTAGTAGACATGATGTCCATTTTGACTCCCGATCTTACTGGAGTTCAGTTGTTCAAGAAAAGAAAAACAGATAGTTTGTAAATGTTAGTGTTTACCTAACCTTTATTTTTATGACTGACAGCCGTTGTGGCATCAACCGTAAATGGCCGGAAGAGTTAACTTGGTAGAGCGCCAAATTCTAACAGACATATCGTTAATTTGAATTCATTCGACAGGGTCACTCAATTTTCATCCTCACGAGCGAAATAAACGAGTATCAATGTGGAATAAAGAAACATGAAAATCTAAACCGTGCTTTCTCTTAGCTATAGACAATGCCTTCAAAACACAAAGCATTACTGTCTGATGTACATGAAATGCAAATCAATGTTCCACCATATGCTTCAGGAAAACGAGATTTATAACTTTACCATTGCGGTGCCAGGAAGACCATTTTTCTTCCTTTCATTTTAGAAAGATTGCGGTATGGTCATGACCTACTGCCATACCATTACTCAATTATAGTACTGCAGCAGTATGCGCGAATGCCACTTTTCAGAGGTGGCAGTCGACCATAAGACCAAAAATATTAAATCATCGATATGGGCGTTATCTTTATAAGACAAAATTTACTACTAAGAGGCCTGTAAGGATAAAAAGTATAGTATCCCACTTTTTGAGTGACAAGAGCGGACTGTAGCGTAAGGATCCGCTGCTCCATTACCCGAGCTACAGTGATAATAAGTGATACCTAAGTATCGCAACTTCAATTCGCCTGACATCCATATGACCAAGAATGACTGCAAACAAATGTTCTTTACTATGTTAAATGTTCCGTGCACCATACAAACATGAAGCTCAGCGGCGTCTTCACATTCTCTTCTGTAACAAACAACTCATAAACAGATGAAACGTAAAGTTGCGTCATAGTCACATACTCATACAACTAGGAAAGAACTGTTGCACTAACCCTTTTCACGCCTCGTTCCCAAGCGGACTCAGCTGCACTGACCGACCCTCTGAACTCGCTTTGTGGCTTGACCTTTCCATCCTGTTCGTTCGCTTCAATATACTCGCTTGCATGCCGCTTCGAAGGATATTTGTTGGACGATGGTTCAGACAAATCTAAAACTTTTTCCATAATTCAAATATGATCTACAAAGATTTTTTAATAAAAACTGACAAACACATGGAAAGAAATTAAGGGTTTTATCGCTAGACCACGGCGAAGGAAGGCAAAACGAAAAGAACGGACAACAAACTTTTATCTGATTACGGGGTAAAAGTCGGAAAAGACAACCTGCTTAATTAAAATACAAAGAAATCACGAAATGTTGTATCGCAGAGGAAATGCCTGCCACACATAGGTGACGCATCAGACTCTGTCACTATATGAAAGAACGACGTCAAAACATTGACATGTTGCACATTTTCAAAACGACCGCCTCTCGAATGATTCAATAATCTAATACATTTCTGCGACTTAGCCAGTATAATTTTATCGCCGTTTATTTTATGACGAGGCTGTTACAAATGTATGCCTGTCCGGCATGCTGTCAGGTAGTCGATGCCTCTTTCGTAGTAACTAACAGATATCTTTTCAGCAAGTATTTCCGGGGCTTCATTACTCTTACGCATATAGTTTTGAAAAGCATACAATAATTGTCATCGCTGTCGTGTACAGTCAATTTCGTGCACAGGTAGCACTCCAACGAAACTACTTTAAACGGGTGGCAAATCGTCAATGACTATTGCAAGATGGCTACTGCTTCAGCAAATAAACTGTTTGATAAGTTAATGGCTCAATCAGCGTATCACGCTTCACTAAAAGGCCATTAGGATGGGTCAGTCGAATTGCAGCATTTCGTAATACAATGATGAACCTCGCAGAGAATCTACTAATCAGATACACGTTGCACTTCATAAGCGGTATCCAAAGAGTCGCTATTTTCAAGTGTTTTAGTAAAATACTAACAATATGTTAATAATCTGTTTCGCGATTCCATGGCACTGTAGCAGTGCTCTTGGACGCATGCTGCCCATTCAGCGGCTAGGCCGGTCAAAGCGAATAACTACAGCAGAATACTGCGCTGTACCATTTATTCGCAGATAAATAACTTCCTCGGGTTTTCTCAACTGGCTACCCCGAAGCAGAAGGTTAATTCCTTGCTGAAGGAAAATGGCAATCATTTAGGTCGCTAGGGATTCGAACCCCGCAGTTCTAAAGCGCAAAACAAAATTATATATTCATTGCCAGTGGTGTAAGGTGTTTCCATGTTTTCTCCACACACACTCTCTGCATACATACAGAATGGGGTTCTACAGCATACAATATGCTGGTCCAGAGAATATTAGAAACAAACAAAAATCACGAACGTATCACATAGAATATGCAAATTCCTGACGAACCTAATAACGGAGGTCAAAAACATCGTCCATCGCTTACGTACAGAATAACATCTATGATAAAGACTTCAGTAAGCAAATGTCGACGCCTCTTTTGGTGACAATGACATAAACAAAGAAAATAAAGCATAATGGGAAAAACAACGACGAAATTCCCACTGTTCATATAGAGTGTAAGAAAAGTCTCTGCCCTGGAAACATTTAGCATTCAGCAAGCAGGAACAAGAAAAAACACGCAAGGGTACGTTATTGGCAATACAAACCCCATGTGCTAAGTTCGACTAAGAGTTCGGATAATACACATAGTTACCTCTTTCCTACTGTACGTGTATTTTCGTATCATTATAGAAAATAGTACATGTATAATATGCTATAGTTCATTGTATTCATGCATTTATTTACATTTATGGTCATTCTCTTCAAAAAAGCAATGACCTAATGGATGATAAGTTTTTTTAAACTTTTTTTCGTTCGGTCTGCAGTGAAAATATCTTAGTCATAAGCAGATTTGCCTTAACAGTGTAGGGTGACTTATCCTCGGTAGGAGGAATGTAACAACACAGGTAATCGCTGCTGTTTGAAATTTATGTGAACTCGATACATTATATTAAAGGTTCGAAACTTAGCAAGATGCTTGCCGACCATCAATACGTACTATGTCGAGACGTATGTCGCATACATCTCAAGAACAGAACAATGAGAAACCACTTCGCTTCTGCAAAATACAAAACGAAAGCCTTTTGTAGATACTCGGTACCATCAATTACTAACCGACAGCTACAGAGAAGTTTAACTATTGGAAATAAACGTACATTATTTGTTGTCCGATGATGCTGCCCATGGTCATTTAATATTTGTGGTCTAAATGCAGAGGTTCAAGTTTCATTCATTAATTTTTGAAGTCAACTAACAATAAAAAATCTTTTTGTGCTTCTTATTTGTTCTTCTTATTCTATAGTTGTTCTTCTTATTCTATAGTGTGAATACGATGCACACAATAGTCTTGTCTTTAACGACAACAAAATAATCAATAATTACTTCTGCTACACACGCAACTGAGCACAATCATAATCATTATCAACCTTTTCGATTCACTGCTGAAAGAGGACCTCTCCGAAACTTAATCATAGACTACTGTTTCCTGCGATTTTTATACATTTTGATCCAAAGTATTTCTTCAGTTAATTTGGCCATCGACATGGTGGATCTACCTACCGGCAATTTACCCCCTCTTGGTATTCTCTTTGTCTCTCCGGCGAATGGATGGTCGGTTCTTCTTGCAGCATTCCCTGTCCATTGTCACATCAGTTTCTTCACTCGTGTAACGACACCGCAAAATCTTATCTGTGCTACTACACATTCATTCGTTTTCCTGCTGCGTTGCACAGTATGCAGCTTAAAGATATCCTTCAGGCCTAGGCTTCTAACTTTATACACATTTATTACAACTGGAAGCATACACTGACTGACAGCTTGCCGTTTAATGCACAAGGGCATTTTCTATATAAGAGCACTTTCAACCTAAAAGTGCGGCATGCCATCTTTCTTGATCTCTTTATCTCTTCTTGATTTTGCAGTCGGTAGTCCGCTGCAGAAGCAAACTGTCTCAGATATATGTAATTTCGTAGCTCTTTAAGTCTCCGTCCGCTGAACTGAACAGCGCGCCATTTATTCAAAATGTTCTACATTCTAGTTGCCGGCGGTGAAATCCGAATGTTGACGTTCTTGGAAGCTACGTTATC